TAAAAATCAAGTATGAAAAACAAACCTTGCACATAAATACTAAAAACATTCAAGATGACGGGGGGGGGGCACGGTCAATCACCCCACAAGCCACCTCCACTGGCGCGAGCCCCCATCCAGCCCCCAGGCCTTCTGGCACAGCCAGGATTTCACCCCTTTCCTGAAGGCCATGAGAGTGGGGCCACCAGACCTCGGGAAGCAGGTTGTTCCATAGGGTGGGGGCCCCAGCAGAAAAGGCCCTCTCCTGTGCACAGCACAGTGTTTACGTACCCCAAACTCCCACCCCTCTAATCTCATGACATTTCAGCTACCCCACCCTAAGATTTTATACAAGGTCACCAACCATTTGGTGAATTTCAGCCATTCTTTTGAAAAATAGCAATTTTGTGTATGTGGTGTATTCTTGGATGGCTTTTTGAGAGAGAACAGGTGTGCAGGAAGTTTTGGGTGCCACACTTATGATCCCTAATATTACCATTCTTGTGCATAGGTTAAAGGCTTGGAAAGCACAGTTCGGTTTACTTTATGTATGGAGTGCTTCTTTATGGAAGGAAAAACAAAATGGATATTAAGAAGCATAGTTATGTGTTTTTAACATACTTGTCAGGAATGTGCTATTTTATACATTTGCCTGCTTTCCACTTAATGTTCTATAACATGTAATGTTCCAAGTACACAGACTACAATATGCAAGTAATCTACTTAGTGTGTGTGTGTGTGCTTTTGCAGTGTCAAATTCTTATAGGCACAGAAACCTTCACTTGTGACCTTTGTCTTGACAAATGATACTTGTGAGGTAAAGATGAATGCAGTTGACTTGTTTTCTGTATTGATCCAGCCATATTATCTTTCTTCTACACGTAGCTCCTGTTTGCCACAATGGCTGGTTCTGAGGGGTTACATATAGGTCAAAGTGGGAACATAAAATGCTATAGTGGATGTGAGGCTTCAACATAATATAAAATAATTAAGGTAATCAAGTGAGTGATGTTCATAGCATTCAAACACTTTTTGCTTCAACGAATATGTTACTCTGTATTTCAAAAGCAAATGAAAACCGAAAATACCCTTGCCTTTTAAAAATCAGTTTAATAAATTGTAATCCTACCATGTAGTTAGATTAGCTGCCACTCCAGCTTTATCTGTACAATCATGTGGAAATGGTAAATTTTAAACGTTTGTTTGGCCTCTCAATGATTCCTGGCAAACTAAAATAGACTAAACATGGAGGGAAACAGTGCTGACTGGGTGTATTTAAAGGCATGAAGTCTAGTTGTCAATGATAGCCTTTTCCTCCATGAAATTGGATTAACCTTTTAAGCCATTCAAGTTGGAGACTCTTGCAGTAGCAAATGTTACAGATTAGACACATGCTATTTGAAATTCTTCCTTTTCTTAATTCAGTTGCATTGGATAATCAAAGTTCTAATACTGTGAAAACTGAGAAACACATTTTTATTTTTTCTACACCATGCATAATTCTATACACTTTATTTATGCAGTTCCCATCAATCTAGCCAGGATGGTCAGAAATCACAATTGTGAGATTTGCAGCCCCCAAACACTTAAAGGGCCACAGTATCTCTGCCCTGTTTCTACACAACATCAATATAGCATGATTGAAGTTGCCATCTCAAACACTAGGAAGTAAGGCAGCACTCATACACGCTTACCTGAAAGGAAGTTTTATTGAACTCAATAAAATTTACTTTTGAGAAGACTTCTATAGGATTGAACAGTAAATATCTTTGAATTAAATACAATTGATTTTTTTAAAAAAAAGATTCTTAGAAACCTTCTTTTCCTCTTTTTCTTAAAAATTTCTTCTTTATCATGCAGAATTTCTAATATTTTCTCCTTGTTTACAGGTATAATTTGGTGGCGGATACATAAAGCAAAATGGCTAAAGTTAACACTTATCATTCCTACCCTGCTGCCCATAGTCCTTCTGTGAAGACTATTAGTGATGACCCTGGTAGACTTGAAAATGGAATTACCAGGTAATGGGTTCAAACCATCACCACTACCACCACCAAAAGAAAAGAGGGGTTTTTCTTTAAGGAAAGGAGAGGAATTGTGTGGAGAACTTTTGTTGTTGTTGAAAGAATGAAAAAAAAATCCATTCTTAAAACTTATATCCAGAACACTACGAAAATACAGTTTACAGACCAATGAAATTTAAATATGTCATTGACAATGCAATCTTATTATTTACTTATTCAGAAGAAACTCCATGGAGTTTAAGAGGGCGTAGACCCAGCAAATTCCAACCTTGAGGAGGAATTTATCATTGGGAACTTCCTCTCCACCAGCCTTCCCCACAGGGCTCTGACTTTCTTGTTGCCTTCAGTTTTCTACATTTGTAGACAGCAGTCAATTTGCCATTTTGATATCAACAGGAGTTAAAGGGGGTTAACTCTGAGAAGATTGTCTCCATTTTCTTCTGTAACTACCTCCTTTGTTTAAAAGACCAGAGATTGTGGTTTCAAATAGGGTTGTCTTTTCCAGTAGTCACTTGATGGAACTGTACTGGTGGAATGAGTTAGAAAGGTTACTTGGCCTTTACTTATGCAGAAAAGCAGCTAGAAAGGTGAAGAACATCTCTTTTTCTTATCAAATTATAATGCTATCCACTCGTTCTTGAAGTGGCAGAAAATCACACCAGCATAACATTTGCTGTCACCATTGTCACTAATCCTATATTGCTTCTGTCCCAGTCATTGTCAATCATCTGATCTCCTTCAAAGGTAATGGAAATATTATGTTTAACAGGTTTGGCACACCGTGAAGGTGCCCTTGGACAATATCAGGAAAAAAAGGGGGAAATACATTGATTTAGTTAATCTTGTCTCATTCATGGTCTGGGCATGAGATAAAAGCAATGTCATGGAGGTAAATATACAGAAAAGAGGTTTTATTTGTGATGCGCAGGAAAAAGGCAGGGATTTGATCATGTGGTAATAGCCATCTTCTTGACTCTTTTGATGCTCTCTATGGCTACCATGGTGAGAACTATTGAAGTTATCATTTGGAGGGGGTGGCAGTGAGAATTGAAAGAATATTTCTTGATCATCAGAATAAGCTTGATACAAGTTATTCTACTTCTGTCCAAATAAGCGTTATATTTCTTTTTTGCAGTTATATGGTATTTGCCATTTAAACATGCATATATACATACCTATCATGCTATCATGTTAGGTGGTTCTCTTCCTTCCTCTGGGGATGGTTCTAGTCAGTTTTGGTGGAGTGGACATATCTAGGGTTACCCAACTGTGTAGAGGGAGGCCTTACGGCTCAAAGCTCTCCCTGTTCCTATTTAATATCTACATGAAGCTACCGGATGAGGTCATCTGGGAACATGGGGTTAGGTATTGTCAGTAGTATGCTGATGATACCCAGTTATATATCTCAACCCAGGCTGACCCAATGATACTGGCAAGGTTCTCTCTCCGTGTCTGGAGGCTGTGAGAGTCTGGATGGAGACAAACAGGCTTATCTTCAACCCTAGCAGGACAAAGTGGCTATGGATTTTGAGGCTACCTCAAGATTTTCTATTGTTAGTTCTGGATGGGGTTGCACTACCACAAATAGAACTGGTGTGCAATTTGTGGATTCCCCATGATTCTTGGCTTCTGCTGGAAGAGCAGATAGTAGCTATGCCTAGGATGGCCTTTGCACAAATTCATCTTGTGTGTCAATTGTGCCTGTTCCTGGATTGCTGGGGAGGGGTGTACTTACAATAAGTCATTCTCTAGTTGCCTCTTATCCAGACTATTGCAACGTGCTCTACATGGGGCTGCCCTTGAAGCCCACTTGGAAGTTACAACTGATCCAGAATGCAATAGCATAAGTCAATACGGGTATACAGACTTCTCCCCAAATTCAGTTAGATCCAGTCCTGCCCATCTTTAAGAAGGTACTGAAGACTGATTCTTTGCCCAGGCACTAGGCCAGGGGTTGGTTGGAACCATACAGGATGTGGGTCTGCAACGATACAGGGTATGCATTTATTTTACTACATTTATTATTTTAACAATTTCCCTGTACTTGATGATTTTAAATGCTTGTTAGCCATCCAGAGAGAGCCAGTTTGGTATAGTGGCATCAGGCTAGAAACTGAAAGGCTGTGAGTTCTAGCCCTGCCTAGTTAAGTAATATACAAAGAACCTATTTGTTAAAGAATCCAGTCTTCCTTATCAAGAAAGAAAAAGCCAACAGATATTTAGTTTTTAGAAAAGAGGTCTTGTATGAATGCTGTTTCAGAGATGGAACCACATAAATTTCTATGCACCATTAACTTCTCCGTGCAATTATTCAAAGCAATCCATCACTTAAGAAAATGGTGTATTGAACCTAATATTTTCATATAATGTCACCCAGAGGTGCTTCGCTGAGATGGGCAGCTATATAAATTTGATAAATAAATAAATAAATAAATAAATAAATTCATTCATTCATTCATTCATTCATTCATTCATTCATTCATTCATTCATTCATTCATTCATTCATTCATTCATTCATTCATTCATTCATTCATTCATTCATTCATTCATTCATTCATTCATTCATTCATTCATTCATTCATTCATTCATTCATTCATTCATTCATTCATTCATTCATTCATTCATTCATTCTCTCTTTGGGGTGGGGGCTAATTTAATGGATGTGCATGTACAATTGTGACAAAGTTGTTTTTGCTGAAGATACTGAAATAATAAAGGTCTAACAATTATCTAGTTAAGATTTTCTTCTTTCCTAGGCTTAACCTAGTCATAAACTTTTTCTAGAGGCTTTGACTCATAATCTCCTACAATTCTGAAATGTCAGCAAGATAATGTCTGTTCCAGAAAAGAGATAACCTGTGTAGATATGCTCTTAAAGCTTGTTTTTCATTTCACACACATACCCACCCACCCATCCACCCACCCATTTAAATAAAGAGGACAAGTATAGACATAAATATGTTAATAGTATGATACCCCCCATGGGGGGGGGGCTGTCCTCTTGCGACTGAGGAATGCACAGGAGGAAACCAGAGTATAAAGATAAGTAGGCAAAAAAGGAATAATATGGGAAAGCCTGAAGGATTTGGAAATTAGACATTTCTTTGACCATATTTTCAGCTGTTTAAATTTATCATTTAGATCAGGTTCACCATCTATAAAGAGTAATGGTGGTTTTCTCTCTCCATAGTTTACTGTGAGAACAAAGCAATGTGGGAATATGAAACAGTATAACTTCTATCAATGTCTCTTTGAAGTGCAAAATTTCCTTTCCTTCCCTCATCTTAGAGTAGATCATAGCATCTGATGAGGTATTTGGTTTTGGTTCCTCTCAGATTTTCTTCCCTTGTTGTTCTCTTCTACTGTGATCATCGGGAATGGGCCAAGTGGAAAATCAGACAAATACATAGATAGCAATATTTTTATATACCTAGTACATGGAACTTGACAACTGGACAATGTAAATGGATTCTTCGTGCCCTTACTATGGTCAAAAGACTGATATTGCAGCATTGGAAAGATAAATGTATGGCCCCATTTATTCAATGGGTTGATGACCTGATTGCACTTGCTACTTACGAGTGGATTGCCTATAGATGTAGAGTTTGTATGGACAGATATGAAATATGGGACACATTTATACAGTAGGTTTAAAAAAAACTATAGTCATATAAATGTGTTAGAAATATATACATACTTGAATATTTGCATTAGATAAGTACATATAGAATTGTAATTGTTTACTGTTATAATGACACATTAACATGCTTTTGTTCCTTGTTGTATTGCTTTCACTTTTTTGTTAGAGCACTTTCTATGTGCTTTTTTCCTTTCTTCCCCTCAGTAATAAAAAATATTTTAAAAAATAGCAATGTTTTGCCAGAAAAACTCTCATAGGCACTGAGAAATGCTGAACTAAGGCAGACGATTAATGTCTTGCCTATCCTCCCTCAGTGTCACTCATGACAGTAATAACATTGGTGATTGATCAAGGAATGCATGTTCTCTCACAGATGCCTAATTGTAAAGGCTTGTAGAATAGCAAATACACATTGAAAGGGGACTGAATGTCTTTCTCCTTGATTCTGAAGGACCCACTCCCTGGGTGAGGATACATCTTCAGAATTGCAGAGAGTCATTTCCATGGAGACAGAAGGCATATCTGACTCTCAAAGGAACTCATTCACAGGCAGTGGAGCAATGACTAGGTAAGCTTCATTTATACTATGAAGCGTATAGGGTAGTGGCCTTGTAAAAGGTTGTTAGGATCTTGTTTGGAAGCAAAGGGCTGAAATAAAGGTAGAGAACAGAATTGTTAATGCGGTGAATTTTGTTGGCATGAAGCCACTATTAAAAGGGATGAGCTGAAGAACAAGTTGATCTTGCTTTATACTATTAAGTCAGTCTAGTGTTTAGGTATGATGGACTGATGGGCTGCAGCAGATGGTAAGTGTGCTATGTGGTTCAACAGAAGAACACAGAATAACAGAGTAATTTATATGTTACTGGCAAAACTTCCTTTAGCTTTTCATCAGAGCTAGAAGGTCACATTGACATTCAGCACGGTTAAACTCCCATTTCCCAAACTTTCTAGGAGGTGATGAGTCATGATCCTGAGAAGTATCAAAGCTTAATGAATCTTGTCTCATTGCTGAATAAAATGTGGCTGGGTGAAACTTCACTAACCTCTTACAGAGCATAATATTCTCAACATTTTGTGTGTTGTGGTGAAGGCATACGTGGGTACAGATTTGCTGTTTTTTAAATATAGTAATGATATCATTTCTTTGGAAAATTACAGAATCAGTCACCTCTTATCACCCCTGGAGTTTTCTTTATACCAAATATTATTTGGACAATAGTGAAATGTTCATCTTTCAGCTTGGACGAAGAATTCCTATATTATTTTTTAAGATATTTAAGATCGCTGGAAGACCTTTTATTGTTTTTGAAATCAGTGTTCATTAACAAATGATGCAAGCATATTGGAAGAACTGCTTTGTCTCTGCATTAAGAGTAAAGATCAGAGACTACAGAAGCTTTTCTGTTGTCCTGTCTGAAATATGCAAAGTTTCTGCATATTGGTGCATGTACATTAAAGCCCATCAAATGAATGTATCAAGTAGAAGTAGTTCTACATACACCATCAGTTCTGTTTACAGATTTGTTGGATTCCAGCTTCCACCATCCCCATCTACTATTGGCCAGGGTGATTGTACCTTGACACATCTGAAGGCCACCAGGCTGGGGAAGCCAATCTAGTTGTTAACGCTAGATTGCAAATGGCCAAGATTAAGTTATTAGACTGCAAATGGCCAAGATTATGTTGTTAGTTTGGCCATTTGCATTTTTATTTATATTTATTTTCTATATATCAAATTTGTCACCATCCATCTCATTAAAAAACAACTCTAGGCAGTTTACAGAGAAGATAAAATTAATTAAAAATACAATATAAAAGTTGTCCTGAATAAATAATAAATAAATATGCAATAATAAATAAATTTGCACTGCTGGCTTGTTCCCTTTTTTTCTTCCAGGTTATCAGGGTTTATCTTATTGGTGAGAACCTGGATCAGGAAGCACTTAGATGAAGAAGTCGAAAGGCCTGATTCTTTTCTTGAGCGGTTTCAAGGGCCAGAACACAAAGATGTTTCAAGCAGAGACAGCAACACTCAGCCAAACCTGGAAGGGAAAGATGAGCTGAAAAAGTAAGAGGATGCTGCTGCAGTGGAAATATATTTGTTTTGGGGGTATCCTGCAGAAAAAGGGACGGACTTGTTTCTTGAAAAGTCAGGTTTAGTGAAGAAGTCCACATGGGAGCTCTATAAATATAGTATCTAATTGAAAAGATCTGTGAAAGGAAAAGAAGATATTGTCATTGATTTTAGTGGGATGTCTATTGCTCTTGTCCAGGTTTATTCTAAAAGTTCCATCCATAGAATAACTAGTTTCCAGTGTTCCATGCTCAGAACAGAATGTATATCTTCCTGGCAGAAGTATCTCTGAGGGAGAGCAGGAAAAACCCAAAGACGTCAGTGCACAGCATGCGGCACTTAAGGAGAGGTGGGGAAAAGAAAGCCCTGGGAAGACTGGGGAGTGGGGCAGGAAGATGAGAGTTGTTGTCACTGATCTTTTTGGCTTCGAACATAGTGTATTCAGCGTCTTGATCTTCCCAGGGCCTTTTTCCTTTAGCTCCCCTTATGGTGTGTTTGAAGTCAAGGATATTGGTGATGTGGCAGCTAAGATGTAATGGTTTGTGGAAATGACCTTGGGAGACGGAAGGAAGAGCCACAGAATGGACAACCGTCATGTAAAAGATATCTCAGTCTGCAGAAGTGTCCTTTATGAGTCCTCTCCTATAGCAGAGCCTCCTTTCCCCCAAGCGGTTGAATTATTATATTCCCAGCATTGTCCAGAGTCTCTTGCACTGTGTGTTCTTTGAAAGGGTGAATTCTATTGGCTGAAGGTCCTGGCAGTTGCCAGAGAGCGCCGGAGAATCTCATCAAGACCTGGTTGCCATTCACGGTGATGAGGAGAAAGAACAGCTTTGGGTCACACTAAATCATGGTGTGTTTAGCCACTCTTGCCTTTTTCCTGTCTAAATGAAAGCCAGCTGCTTTTCACGTGAGGGGACAAAAATAAACAGGACAGGATAATCAAGATGATGAAGATGGGCTTTCTTGGTTCGCACATTGCATTAAGTTATGGTTTGTTTTAAGCAATAAAGCATGGTTTATAAACATCAGGGGCTTTATTCCCATAACACTGTAAGCTAAAAACATACAAACCATGTGATAACTCAGTATGGGGTGTGAACCAAGTGTGACATATGCCCGCTTTCCACCATCCTGGGTAGTTAGGTTCTCACAATAGATATTCCACCTAAGGATGCAATGAGCCTTTTTTAAGATAGAATATCCCTTCCTCCCCCATTAACCCAATACATAAACCATTTATTCACATGCACAGATTTGCATACTAGCTAATTGTCTTCTTTTGTTAGAATAGTAGCAATATCCTCTTGTCCTAAATCAGTCAAGTAACCAGTCCCCGCTTCCCTGGTTTTATGCTAAGAGCCAATAAATAAATAAATAAATACATAAATACACAAATAAATAAATAAATAAATGTCAATTTTCATAATCTGTGAACTGTTCAGAAGATTACTGGTTGATTGGGATTTTCATTAATTACAGAGATTAGTCTTCTTAGGTTAATTTATGACTAACAGGGAAAACATGAGTCCAGGTCCAGATGAAAGCCCCTACTTCGAGTTGTGCAAGTTCCCATTTTATGTTATCATTCATATTTTCCATGAACCTCTTTTCTGGAAAAAAAAATATGATGGGATTTTGAGTACATGACATTTTCTTTCCCCTTGGAGTTAGATATTTTTATGAGAGTTACTGTATTCTTCTCATCTTCCATGGGTTTGCAGCAGGAGTGAATATTGGAAATTCAACTGTGAGGATGATGCTTCTTGAGTGTCGCAGCCAAATGCAGGCTATAAATAGCCAGATCTTCAACACAAAAGTGTTTTGGCGGCATGTGACCAAGATGATGCCCTGGATAATTCTGTAATGGGGTTATCCTTGTTATCAAAGTTGTCTTCTTTATTTTTTTCAGCATAAGGGGAGACTAACAAGTGAAGCAGTGATGGGACTAGGATGTGCGTCTGTGTGTGTGTGTGAGAGAGAGAGACAGTGAGAGACAGAGAAAGAGAGAGAGAGATGCACACGTACACATACATGCATACAGTGGCCAAGGGGAGAGCGTTATACTGCTTTGTAAATTGCTCATGTATTCATGTATTCATGTATTCATTCATGTATTCATTCATTCATTCATGTCACTCATTGGAGTCAATGAGCTTTGGCCAGATTTAATATCAACTGCTTCAACACCAGCAGAGAGCAGATACAACATGGACAGTTTTGTCTAGTCTTTCCTAGTTTTCCCTTTGTAGACAGGCTGCTAACAACTGTAGGGCAATTCTCTTGTTCATTGCTTTTGAAAACCTGATTCAGCTAAAAGGCTTCTCAGAATAGATAACTTGGCCCTTGTAGATCACCAGCGAGCCCTTTCCTTGTTAGAGGTTGCTAGTGATGCAAATTGGAAAGTTGTCACAGATTTGATTAAAAAAAACTTGTCTTCATTATTGCTTGTTTTAACATTTGGGCTTCCTGTACTAAGCTGATTTTGAGAAGTTTTGCCCAGATGTGTTGTTCATGTTTAAATGTACAGATATAATGAATATTATCACATATAATGCATTCCTTTTAAAGTTGCTCTCTCCTACTCTCTCTCCCCCTCATGTTATTCATTTCATCTCTATATAATTTGCACTGTCATTCCCCCCACCCCACAAAAGCTAACAACAAAAACATACACCCTTCATACGTGGGCAATATTTTTTTGGACTGCAGAACATATTTAATCTTGTGGTGTGCTGAGGGCTACCTACAGTATTCAAAAAAACAGGTGTGGACAGGAAAAAAACTCAGTGACATATTAAAAGGGGACTCAGGAGGTTAGATGAAAGCTTCCTAGGGAACCTTCAGACCTGCGGGCAGTGAATTGTTGATCCAGATCATACTCTGTTGATTTTGAGTAACAGTGTAAAGTAAGATGGCTGATGTCAGGGTAGGACTCTGAAACTCTAGAGATGAAGAGCAGAAGAGACATCTGGCATAACTGGAAAAATACAAGACGTGAACTGACCAAGTATACCTACGAACAAATGTTTGATCCTATACCGTTGCAGTAAGAGAGGTAAAGTGTTGATATGCTCCCCTGTCACTGCATTGGGGGGTTGCCAGCCAGCGGCCTTGTTTAGGCTGGCCAACTCCCTTTTCAGGAGGAGGGCATGAGTTTGAGTTCCTGTCTGGCCTCTGTGATCAGTTGGTGCATGACTTTGTTGACCTTACTCCTCAAGTTCTTGATGATGTGGTGACTGGGGAAGTGCTTTGCTATGTTATCTTGGATTCATTTTGTCCTGTGGACTCTGAGGAAGAGGATAAGGTGGTCTTTGAGATACCCTCAGCCACTTGTGGCCTCGACCCATGCTTCTCCTGGCTCTTTTATGGGACAAGGGTGTGTGTGAGGATAAGCTGGCTTGGGAGGTAATCAGTGCCTCACAGAGAGTAGCTCTGGCAGCCTTGAAGGAGGCTGTGGTGCTCTGTCTTCTTAACAGGCCTTTCCTGGATCCAGCCACTCTTGATAATTAACACTCTATCTCTAAGCTACTCTTGTGAGGGAATGTCATTGAAACTATAGGCACTGGACAACTCAGAAGCACCCTAGATGAAGTGGATTATCTGACCCCTTTTCAGTCAGCTTTCAGCTCTGGGTATGAGATAAAGCCAACATTGGTCATTCTTATGGATGATACTTGTTGGGACCTGGCTGGAGATAGTCCCAGTGGTATCAAAAGTCATTTTTGTTGGCCTTTGATACCACTGACCCTAATGTGTTTTTGGGCCTCTGGTGAAGGTTGGGGATTGGAGATACTGTCTTGAGGTGGTTCCAGTCCTTCCTTAGGGAGTGGTTCCAGTTGATAGGGTTATGTGGAGTGATTCAGGCAAGCAGTTGACTGCAGGGTTCAGTATTATCCCTCCCGCCTTTTAACATCTGCGTGGAGCTGTGGGAACAAGTCATCATCCATTGATTGGGAGTGGGCAGTGTCATGTATGTTGATGATACTCAATTGTTTGTCATAATCCCAGGGTGAGTAGGAGGCGTTGTCAACATCTTGTCCTAGTGTCTGGCCTTTAAGATTTAAATAAGACAAAAATGGCTGAGATTGACTCCCAGCATGATGGAGTTGCTGTTCGTCCACTGAGCTGCTTTAACTGCTCTTAATGTTGTCTGTCAAAATGCAGGCCCAAGACTTGGGAGTCTTCCTGCTTTATGGGCAGATGGAGACCAAGGCCTTTGCCCACTAATGTTTGGTTGGCATACAGTATTAGGTATGACCCTTCCTAGGGCAAAAGATTCTTGCAGCAGCAACTCATGCTCTCATTACCATGCCTGTGGAGCACTGTAATGTGTTCTCCATGGGGCAGAAGCTTTAGAATGCAATGAATTGGTTATTAGCCAGCACTCATCACCAAGACTATATTCACCTTTGCCCTGGGGCCTGCAATGGCTTCCTATTAGCTTCCAGGTGCAATTCAAAGTGTTGGTCATTACCTATAAAGCCTTATCTAGTTTGGCACTGAGGCTCTTGCAGGACCCTCTCCTCCAACTGGAATTGACCTGCCTGATCTACGTGTCCTGAGAGAAGCTGCTAGTGATCTTCTTTTCTGTGACACTGCCGGCGCTAAGGTCTGGTTTTTGGTGACACTGCCTATGCTAGTATGGAATAACTTCCCAGTAGAAATCAGGCTGGTGCACATTGTTTTATCTTTCTGGAAATTGTTAAAGGCTTATAATAAGGCTTATGACTCTCAGGATTGTTTAATTTATTTCATGCTTATAGTTTTATCTTTTTATGCTTTTTGGTTTTCATCGTACTCTTACTGGGGATGGTCTGATTTTCATTGCTTCATCTTTTGTTTGCTCTTAATTACTGCAAGCTGCCAAGAGTCTGAAAGATTGCAGTGGATGTAAATATGACTGATAAGTGAACTAACTAACTAGCTAACTAACTAACTAACTTAGTGCTGCAGTGGAACCAGCATAAACAAAGGATTTATTTATTAACGTTTGCCTCTTGCTTGTGTAAAACATTTTGCAGGGAACATGGTAGAGCAGTGTTCCTCAACTTCTGCAACTTTAAGACGTGTGGACTTCAACTCCCAGAATGCTGGCTGGGGGATTCTAGGAGCTGAAGTCCACACATCTTAAAGTTGCTGAGGTTGAGAAACACTGGTAGAGTATTAGATTAAAGGACTGAAAGGTCTGTCCTCAAGTCAGAGTCATCCTGGCCATCAGACCCAGTGCTTGCCCTCCTCACTGCCTTTTAGATGGGGAGTAGAAATCATGGAGGCAGGGCATTTGGGGCATTTCCTGGGCCCACGCAGTGCAGGAGACCAACTAAGTTAGTTCTATCATCGATGGGTGAGGACTCAATCAACTGGAATGCAAGGATGCTTGACAAACTACGCATGTCATTAACACACTTCAATTGTTCTACCAATTGAAAAGATAAATTTGCCACTTTCAGTGTAAGAATGTTTATTGACTGGGTGGTCAATACCAGACATAAAACATTCCTTGCCTACCTGTAGGTATCTGCTTTTGGTCCTCAAAAGCACACATTGAAAAACATAAAAGATTTCTTTGATCAGAGTCCACCATGTGCCTATAAACTTCCTTTTTTCATTTCCAGGAAAAAGAAAGATGTCTTTGTGATAGATCCTTCAAGCAACTTGTATTACAGGTGGTTGGGAGTCATTGCAACACCAGTATTCTATAACTGGTGTATGTTGGTATGTAGGTAAGGATGATTTTTTAATGCATCCCTGTGCTATTACTGGCATTGGTTTCACTGGCATCCATGGGGGTCAAGTTGTCAAGTTGGTGGCTAGCAATCAAAATGTCAAGTTGGTGGCTAGCAATCAAAGCCCTGCACCTTGTTTTCATGCATGGCACACATGAAAGGGGAAGGAGCTTCAGTGGCACGGTGGCAGCCACCATCGTGATCTTTTTGACTCTCCCTGCCGTGGCCTCTGGTTCTGAAATTTAATCTCGCTTTCTTTTTGTCACAAGAAGTGTTTATTTGCATCAGCTCCTTTTTAGGCAATCAGATAATGAAAAAATAGCAGTTTAAAAAGTAAGGCTGTGCATGCTTCAAAAACAATTTGAAAGAAATGCTTTGGACTTCTGAGAACACAACACTTCTCAGCTCTTCACGAAAACCTGCATGACATAGAACTGACAAAAGAGAATGTGATTGAATTGTGCTAAAGATAGGCTGCTTTAATGATTAGTTAGTACTTCGGTGAATCATCTAAAGATGCTGCCTGGAGTCATTGGCTTTGTGAGATGGGTGGCTATATAAATTAGATGAAGGAAGGAAGACAGACAGACAGACTTTGTTTTGGCACACACACACAGAGCTCATTTGTTTGTTTTCACCCTGTTTTGCTGAATATGGCCTAATTGACTCAGTTCACACAAACTAAGCAAGAGACCAGGAGTCAGATTCAGACAGCATGCTTAGAAAAACCAGCCAAACAATATATGAATCTGTGTCTGGCTATCTACTCATTCTGAGCATGTCAAGGCAATGGTTTTGATTTGTCCTTCAATTCTATGCATGTATCAAGTTCTTCTGATCCATACACAGATGAATCAGGAAATTCCATGTTTGTAGCAGCCTGTAAGCGCCACCTGGTGGACTCTGTCCCATCTGTAAGCCACGAACAGCTGCATTCCAGTCCCACTGGCTTGGCCTCTGTCTTGCCATTCCATAGCAGGACCGCAGTGTTTGTTCCCTGCCCAGGGTCCCTCTGGCAAGGGGCAGCCATACAAATCCAGATAAGTAAATGAGTGCCACCTGGAGTCATCTGGAGGCGAACCAGCAAATACATTCATAAATATAGAGAGAAATGGCAACCTCATTAAAAAAATGTGGTCCACCTCGTTGGCAATGCTGAACCTTTGCAAACTAATACTTTTAATAAAAACATAAACACTGACATTGTCAGCTGAAGGCCATGGAAGCCAACAAGCTTGTGGTTACAGGACTTGGTATTTGCTTAGTTTTCTGTCCTACTTGGCTTTATCCTTTTTTAAAAGTTGTGTTCCAGTTACAAATAAGTAAATGAGACGCTGGCTTGCTGCAAAATCAATTTCTGGCGTGGAGGACTGTTCTTATAAACTATCAATTGTGGGAGGATGCAGTCCAATGAATGGCTTGGAAGTGTGCACTTGCAGTGAAAATAGAGAGAGTGACAGGGAATATGGACAGGCAGGGAACAATCTCACCAGCTCTTCTCCAGTAAGCAAATGTTTTGTGACTGTCCACATCTGTCACAGAAGTCATTTTATAAATAGGCAAGTCATATTGTGAGAGTGCCCAACCACAGCATGCTCTAAAAATTCCAGATGTGCTCCAGTCCTCCAGATTTGCCTATACTTGCCAGAAACATGTGACCATTGTATCCTGTTTAGCTATAGATATGAAATAAATAAGCTATTTCTACTGAAATCTAACTTTAACCAGATTGTCTGGTTTCTTCAGGGCCTGCTTTGATGAGCTACAGATGGAACATCTTACACTCTGGCTGATCTTGGATTATTCCTCCGATGTTATCTACATCATGGACACATTTGTCAGGTTCAGGACAGGTGAGCAATTGTCTCCCATGAAGCTACCCTCATAAATCAATTCCTTAAGAGCGTTGGCCATGTGGAACGAAGTCACCAAATTTATCAGAAACCCTTCTCTCCTTTAGCTTGCCCTGAAAGACTCTCACCTCCAAAATTCCAATGCTGCACCACTGTAGCATTATCCAGGAGGAAAAGCCTTTATTTCATGGTGGATATTGGAGAAATGGTTACTACAAGGCAACGTTTATGAGTAATTCTCTTTTCCTTACTCCTCCCTTGCAAATGTAGCCTTTTGTTCAAGTTTAATGCCAATAATGTCAATAGGGACACAGGATAAAACTTTCATTGTGGGGAGATAGACCAAGTAGTTTTTATATATAT